TGGATGAGCTGAAGGTATAGACCTGATGTCACTGTTTGGGTTCTTTGTCATTACAGGAGAAAGAAGTGAAAGCAGGCCGAAACCTCAGCACATGGATGACATCAACCAAAAACATCCAGCACCAGAAAGTAAAGATGAGCCAGCGGCGATCCCTGTGGAAAAGACTTTTCCTGCTATGAAGCAGATCAGAAGATGCAAGCGAGCCAACAGGGAGGACAGAAGCTTGAGCTGTGATCAGTGTGGAAAGTCTTTTACTCAGATTGGTCACTTGAAATCACATCAGCTGATCCACACCGGTGTGAAACCATTCAGCTGTGATCAGTGTGGAAAGACCTTTACTCTGAGATGCAACTTAAAAAAACATCAGCTGATCCACACCAGTGTGAAACCATTCAGCTGTGATCAGTGTGGAAAGACCTTTACTCATAGATGGAGCTTAAAAACACATCAGTTGATCCACACCAGTGTGAAACCATTCAGCTGTGATCAGTGTGGAAAGACCTTTACTCATAGATGGAGCTTAAAAACACATCAGGTCGTCCACACTGGATTTAAAGCTTTCAACTGTGATCAGTGTGAAAAGTCTTTTACTCAGAAAGGTCACTTAAGGAGACATTATATGATCCATGTTGGAGGTAAATCATTTGTCTGTGATCAGTGTGGAAAGTCTTTTACGGATAGAGATCACTTAGAGAGACATCAGGGCGTCCACAGTGAAGTTAAACCTTTCACCTGTGATCAGTGTGGAAATTCTTTTACTGAGATTGATAGGTTAAAAAGACATCAGCTCATCCACAGTGGAGAGAAACCATTCAGTTGTGATCTGTGTGGAAAGTCATTTACTCAGATAGGCAATTTAAAAGTACATCAGCTCATCCACAGTGGAGATAAACCTCTCACCTGTGATCAGTGCGGAAAGGCTTTTGCTTACGTTAGTAACTTAAAAAGACATCAGCTCATCCACAGTGCAGCTAAACCCTTCAGCTGTGAGCAGTGTGGAAAGTCTTTTACTCACATTGCTGCCTTAAAATCACATCAGCTTATCCACTCTGGTACTAAACAATTTGTATGTGGTGACTGTGGAAAGGCTTATATTGAGATCGAAAGGTTAAAATCACATCAGCTCATCCACTCTGGAGTTACATCATTT